TTTAGTAACTGTAATTATTTTTAGTTATTCTTTAAGATAGTTTTGAAAATTATTTTATCTTAAAAATAATTAATTTTGAGTTAAATTCGTTTCATAATTTCTCTTAAGTTTATTACACTTACAAAAATTTTTGTAACGTAATTTTTCAGAATTTTTTAAATATTTTGATAGTTAGAATTAATGTTTAAAAATATTTATTTGTCAATCCATTTATAGCCTTTGAGTATATTTAAAAGAATTATTATTGCGATTTGGAAATCTATTAATTGCAAGAATTCCTAATTTTAAAAAATTTGTAAAAATTAGTTATTTGTTACATTTTGTATAATTTATACATAATTAAACAACTAGAAAGCTTAGTACCCCCCCCCCCCTTTATTATTCTTTTCTCAGGGTTACAAGGTTTTGTCGGCTTCCTTACAAAAAAAAACCACTGGCGCTAAACCAGTTTTAAATATTTTTTTAAAATGACAGACGTAGTCCAGGGTCCGGACTGGACCACAGGGAAAACATCAGTTTTAAAATAATAGAATTATCTAAGAAAGGTAAAATTAAAAAAAATATAATACTATTGTATCTACAAGAATGAATACATTTTGGAGCTAATTTATTTTTAGATATATATATTTTTAGTATATATTGTCAATAGTTACAAAAATTGATAAGTAATAATGGATTTAATTTAACTTCAAAGCTGCTACATTACATTCTTCTCATTTAAATGAAAATTTTTTATATTGCAGGTAAGAAGTTTAATATGCGTTAGTTACTGCAAAGTGAAAGTATAGTAGCAATCTGCTAAAATTTAGTAAAACTAGTAAATGTTTTTTTTCAAAAAAAGTAATGCCATAAAATTTGTAAAAGCAAAATGTTTTGTCATTTCTCCATATATTCATTTTAATTTTGATAAAATAAATTTGATATCTTAATAAGTGCTTACAAATTGAGCGTTTGTTATTCAATCAAATGAATGAATATTTCAGGCAGTTTAATTTAGCCAATATTGGAATGATCAGTGATTTAGTCATTCTAGACCTTATTTAGCCATTTTATTTAATGATATTTGACGCGTCAATCGTATTACCTCATTGAATTAGATACTTTTCGTTACTTAGTGCATCGTTAAATTATCGCAATTTGGAATGTATTAGAAATGCTATCAAAAAACAATTTTAATTTGTCATAATATAAATTTCAGGCGTGCCAAAGTAAGAAAAAAAATGAAGGTTACCGCTCTCTTGTACTGTAGGAATCTAGCAGCAGCACCCGTTCTGCTGACCGGACGGTATAATTTATAGAGAAGGTTTTAGTTCATAAATTCTTAAAGATTCTCAATCTTATAAAGATGTGTTTTTTCTCTAGATGAATTTTGATAGTTCATCTCAATGACATATAATAATACCTAGACTGACGATTCATTCATTAAAAGTGAACATCAATACAAATCAGCTAGAGACGCCATCTTGGTTACTGTAATAAATATTAAAATTTAAAACGAGAGCCTAATTTTATATCTGATGCAAACTTTATTAAAGAATTGCCTGATCATAGAGATAATAAGAAAGTAAGTTATCAATTTAATATTAGTTTTTAACATGAAAATAATTATTATAAAGGTTACCAAAATGGCGGGTCCAGCTGATTTGCTTTTAACGACGCTTAAAAATGCATTTTAATGAATGAATCGTCAGTCTAGGTATTATTATATGTCATTGGTTCATCTTACTAGTCACAAAAAAATATATCCATCATAAAGATACTTTTTTTTTCTTATTAATTTGTATCGTCGAGTAAAATACTTTCTTATTCGTGCGAATAATAAAAACTTTATCCGATTTCTCGAATATTCGATTCGATATCTAAATTCTTCAAAAATCTTCATTTATCGATTTCAAAATTTAAAAAAATGTTTTATACAAATAATTTTCACAAATCTCAAATAACATTAAATTATTTAATAAATATTTAGGAAGACAAGAATTTTTACACATATTGCCCAAATAGAAATTTACCTATTTGATATTTTTCCCAATGTCAACTAAAAAAGCACTTATATCTCACGACAAAGGCAATTTATTGATATATATCATGATATAGTGTCCTACACAAATGTTCCAAAAATATCTACTGGACATTCTTAGACGATAGGTGTCAACGCTTATCCGTCGCGTTTCATAATTGACTCACCGTCATTTCCTACTTTGACACACTTAAACTTGATTACCATTAAAAACATCTAGTCTTGAAACTTATTTGCTTCTATAAAGCTGACATGTCTTAGCGTTCCGGATATATATTATTCCGAAAAATAAAATCATTACTCCATACTTTATAATTATTATATTATTGTTTTCGTATTTAATAGGCTTTAGAAACTAATCATACCATTTACAAAATTACAGATATGAAAACACAAATTGATTTTTAAAAAATCAATTTTCGAATAAATTCCTTTTATGTTTGAGGAAAACAAGTTATTCACAAAATATATAATAAATACAAAACCAAAATTTATAAAAGGTATTTTATTAGTACATTTTTGGGTAGCCCTATTTATTCGGTATTTTGGCATAAATTTTGATCCAATCGCTATCAATTGCAGCTCTTAATGTCGACCATCTTTTCGCCTTTTTTATTTTGTTATATAAAGATATGAATGTTGTAAATATAATCTGATTATTAGCAAACAAAATATTTAGAAATGAAAATATACATGGTATACATTTTACAAAAATTGTTATAAGTCTTCTACTTCCATAAAATAAATCAGCAATATATTTAACATCTCTTTTGGATTCCACATCAAACACAATATCATAACCTTCCAAATCTAGAAATTTCAAAATTAATTTTACTTATTATTTAAAAGAATTTAACCTTTGTATTCTGTGGATATTACGGTAACATTTTTATATTTGATTTGATTTTGAATATCGTCAATATATTCTGGGAAAGAATTTGTTAAATTAACAGCTTTGTAATTCGTTCCAAATCTTCTAATAAATGATTTGCCTTGATTCACTATGTAACGAACTTTAAAATCTAAATCGTAAGACATATAATTTTTTTAAATTAAAATAAATTAAATAAATATTTCTTGTCTAATTAGTTATTTGTGTTGCCTAGTTTGTGCAAAGTCATAATGTTAATAATGAATAATAAGCTAGACATAAATATAAATAATATACTCCAAAAACACCAATATAGAATTTTGTAATAATTTAATATAATAGGTTTTTTTTATAATGATAAATTTGAAAATAAAAAACAATTAAAACAATGGGTTCAAAAAATAACGATAAAATAATTTTTTAAAAAAACAACAGAAAAAAATTACCACCCAACATCGAGGGAAGCAAAGGAAAGTGTGTTTTTTTTCCAAATCTTCTAGTAGCCATAGTTTTATCAGAGTCGTTAAGGTTTCAAGATACAAAAATTTAGTAACTGTAACTATTTTCAGATACTTTTAATATAATTTTTGAAATTTATTTTTATTTAATTTTTTTTTAATATTAAATATAATTAATTTTGTTACAAAAATATGGAAAGGTCTTAAATTTTTACATATTTTTAATTTAAATGAATTTCAAAAAAAATGAATTTTTTAAAATTCAAATATTTTTTTTAGTGAAATTAAAATGTTTAAATTCGAAAATAATATTTATTTTGTGAATCCGGTTAATTGAAGCATGAATACCCAGCCCATAGAGCGTTTTTGAACGCGACCCTCAAAATATGTTAAATCTAGGAAGACCCAATTTACGGAAGATTAGATATCTACATGAATTTATTTGAAGTAGTGAGAAAATATAAATCTATTGAATAATCTTTTTAAAATTTTCTAAAATATTTGAGTCAATTGTACGCTCAGATAATATGTAATTAGACTAAAAAGCTTATAAGTAATTGTGACCATTGAGAGAAGAATCATCTGTTAAAATAAATTTTATATAAGTCATTAAAAGTACCCAATGAAAGTAGGAAAAACAAAGTGGAGAAGGTATCTAAATCTCAAATCTGCACACGGCATCTTTATAATCCACAAAGATTTTTTTTCTACCCAACTTGCCTTGCCCCTTATTTAAAAAATATTTTAAACAAAAATATGTGTAAAAATAAACAACCAATGGTTTTCGATAATAAAAATATTTTAAAAATAATTTAGCCAATCATATGACAGATAAATAAAGTTTTTTTTAAAAAAAATGGTTTTTATTTAGCAAATTGCGATATGTTGATTTGACAGTAGAGTTGTATTTAAAAATGGCTAACTCATTATTTTAGCCAGAAATTTTTTTGCCTAAATCTCAAGATTTTTTTAAGAGATGTCCAACACTTGTCCACAAATGCTCAAAATCGTATAGCGCACCTATGAATGATTCCTTTTTTGGAATTCATCGCGATTTAGTCCATCGTTAAATTATGCAATTTGGAATGTAATAGAAATGCAAAAATTTTTTTAAAAAAAATTAGTTAGAATATAAATTTTAGAAGTGCCAAATTAAGAAAAAAAAATGAAGGTAGGCCAAATAAATTTTCTAAGATACTCCGAGAGCAGCTCTCAGCACACTTAAAAACAACTTTAGCATTTAAAAAGTATAACATCTAATAGGAAACTTTTAAGAAGCACTATGAGACACCATATCATTTATACTAAAAAATTCTGTCTAATATATGCATTTTTGGTATTCTTACTGAAATAATAACATCAACATGTTAAAATACTTAAGAATCATTCAAAAAATTTTGCGCGAATTATTTCGAATATCCGCCAATTATTTCAAATAATTTGAAATCATACGAATAACTAGATCGGATAATAGACGGATGATACATTTTCTTTATTGGAATTCGTAAAAAATATGGATCAAAAAAATTGGCTTTAGGTTTATAAATTTTCATTTACAATAAGAGTCAGAGTAATTTCAATTATAATTTTTTTCGATAATTTGATTTTAATTACAAAATTCTCCTGATATTAATGAAATAAACAAAATACATAAAAAATATTCATAAAAATGTCATTTTGTTAGGGCATTTGGGTATCCCATTCATACTTTATTTTTGCTAATAGTTCGGCAGTATCATCATCAAAATTGCTTAAAGGGTCAGTATTTTCACCTTTTAAGATTTAAAAAAAAAAATTTATCGATTATAATAAGCAATTAAAATTAAATTTAATAAAACTCAAAATGATTTAAGAGACGATTATATTTTACCCTTCACATAGAATTCTATAAGTCGTCTGCCAAATAATTTAACGACGTATTTCATATCTTTATTCGACTCAATATCTATCAGAATCATGTCGCCTTGTAAATCTATGAAATATTTATTATTTGAAAATAATATATATGTCTGCTAATAAACCTTTGTATTCGGTAGACTTTATGGTAAGATTTTTACCTTTGATTTCATTGCGAATGTCCTCAATATTCTTATCTTCAACACGAGCCTTTGAGAATGTGGAAGAAATCCCATTGCAATACAATCCGAATCTCTTAGTAAATGTAGATGGCATTCCATATTTCACTTCGTAATGAACTTTAAAATTTATATCGTAATCCATATAAATAAATAAAATATTAATAAAAAATAACGATTAATTTTAAAAAAAAATTCTGTCTAGATTGTGATTGTACCTTTGTTTGTTTTTTTTTGTATGGTAATATAATAATTAATAATTTTAAAAAAATGTGATGGATGTTTTGTTTAATTCAAATTTTAGCAGAGTGGTTAAAAGATACTTTTCAAATGAATCTAGATATCGATACTTCGTATAAAAAAGTATCCGGATAAAGATACATTAAAAAATTAATTACGGATGTTAGGAAGGAGGTGAAATGCTTATTATAGACTAAATCATGTGGCTACTTTAAATCCCCCCCCCCTCCTTCCTATAATCCACAAATTTCCTTTCAATGCGCCGAGTAAAGTTAGCTAAGCCATATTAATTTGCCGCAGAAATTCATCGTATCGCGTTATGTTAAGGCGATTATTTATTTTTAACGAAGCGTTTATTTATAAAATCAAGCCAATTAAATAGGCCTTAATGAAACATTATTACAATATAAATGATAAAAATTTCTGAAGTAAAAATTTTGCTACATATATTTAAAAAAATTTTTGAAACAAATTGAAGAAACTGTTGATTTAGATAAGCGTTAAATAAAAACGCGATGATCGAACGCACACCTAGTTTATACTATAAATGAACGGCTAAATAATCAAATTTAGGTTTGTTGCCACAGTAGGAAAAATTAAGGTTAAACCGTTACTCTATATATAAATATACATATTAATTTTATAAAAGTCAATTTCTGAAAGTAAGTGTTTCATTATATTTTTTGAGGAAAAAAAACTTATATCATTTGAGTTTATCACAAAAATTATTGAGGGAACGTGAAGAGAAAATAAAACAAAATGATAACTATAAAAAGGTATATTTTTGGCGGCCTATTCATTCAATTTCAGCAAAATTCCTGATTTGAGGGCTATCTATGACAGATCTAATAAAATTTATACATTAATATTAGTGTTGTTAAATGGCTCGAACTCAATATTTTACCCAGAGAAATATTGTCTAACCTTAGCGATTTCGGTAACATATGTTTAAACCCTTGTTCCTTCTATGAGAAAAATCTTCAGGTTTGCATGATTATTTTTCCGGATGTAATTAGCCGTTCCTAAATATCGGGTGAGAACGATCCGTTTAACAACACACACTAGTATTATTTAAAAAAAAATACTTATCATCAATATATAATTCTTATATGTCACGTATCTTTATCAGAATCCAAAATCAAACAAAATAATATCGACCTTGCAAGTCCTAGAAAATTAAATAATTGTTCATTATTTTCTTAAAATTTAGTCATGTGTCGTGTTTAAACATTTGATTTCTCTTAGAATATCCTCAATATTCTCATCTACAAACACAATCTGTTAATAATGCTCCAAATAAAATTTAAATGAGATACAAACCAAACCTTTTTTTGGCCATACTTCCATTTGATAAATAATGAATTTTAAAATTTAAAAGCGTAATCCACCAAAAAAAATATAAAAATTTTAAAAATATATTGGTTAAAATAAAATAAATATTTCCGTCTTGATTGTAAGTAATTGTTCTTTTTTTTTGAAATGGATGGGTGAAGTAAAACAATAGATAAATTAAATTATTTAAAAGTACCCCCATCAGTTGCACAATATTTTACTATGAATCAATTGCTTCAAAGGTATACATTCCGATGTTAGAAATCTATTTTTTTCTTTCAATTTATTTTTATATAAAAACACAAACCTTTACGGAGAAAATTGTCTGAAATTTTTAGCATAGGGAATTCTACCCCCACTACACTTAATTTTCGATCAAATCAAAATTTTTTTAGAAATAATAAAATCGATCTTAATAAATGATTTACAACTATGACATTTCGATATTCCCCATGGATTAAAAATACAAATTTGAATAAAATTAATAATGATTTTATATATATATGTTAGCGGCAAGTGTTATTTTTTCAACTTTAAAACAATTTTTTAGAGCGTTTTTTTTAAATTTAAAAATCAGCCGTTATTATAAAACGGCTAACTCAATATTTTAACCAGTCGTAGACCTTTATTCCTCCTATGAGCAGGGTTGCCAGGTCAAAATTTTCAAATTGTGGGAGAAATACGGTATTTTGTGGGAGTAATATAAAAATTGTGGGAGAAATATGAAAATTGCTAAAAAAAAAAAATTTGCGGGCCGAAGGAGAATTACTTAGTTATCCGCTTATTATTTTTTATAAATATAAAATCGAATCTATTTTCCAAAATAAAATAGGTAATTATTTTTCAAAATAAAATAGCCAACTTAAAATAAAATAGCCAACTATTTAAAATAAAATAGCCAACTATTTTTCAAAATAAAATAGCCAACTATTTTTCAAAATAAAATAGCCAACTATTTTTCAAAATAAAATAGCCAACTATTTTTCAAAATAAAATAGCCAACTATTTTTCAAAATAAAATATCCAACTCTTTTTCAAAATAAAATAGTTAACTATTTTCCAAAATAAAATACGCAACTATTTTTCAAAATAGGTAATTATAGTACGACACAAAATTTCTTAAATACTATCTTTATTATTAAAATAACATATTGATTTATTATAATATATTAATTTTGTTTAAAAATAATAACCAACAATCTTTTTTAAATACAAAAGAATGTAAACAAGATAAAATTTTATCAAAAATTGTTATTTTACAATGTAAAAAAAATATATTTTATGCTAATGTATAAATAAGATTTTATAAAAAAACAAACAATTTTAAATTTACAATGTAAAAAATAATTATAATCAGTGCGGGGAAGTTGTTCTACAGTATTTAGTTAATACAATGGGGGAAGGGAATATGATATTTTGAGGCATCAAAAATCTTCAAAGCATAAATCAGTACAGGGCAGTCTATCAACATCTATTGCAAAACAAAAATATTCTTCAAAAATAAGAAATAATACAGATGCAACTACAGTTGCGGAAATGGTAAATACCTATCATGCAGTACAGCATTCAGAAAGCTACTTAACATCACAATGTTCGTAGAATCTTTCTCCATAATATTTAACGACTAATATAAATGAAAAGTATACTTTGTAGAACAAAATGAGCAAGGCTATCATCAATGTTTTAGGATATAAATCCAGAAGGTCAATTCTTGACGTTTTGAAAGATGTGCAAACATATGCAATTCTAACAGATGCATCTAATAAGGAGATATTAAATCCTCCCCTATTTCAACAAAATTAATGTCATTTCAATAAAACTATTAAAAAAAATTTCTCCAGATATGAAATATCCAAAGACATAGTTAACCATATATAATGGTAAATATGGCAGATTTGGCATTACCAATGAATTGCATGGCATCTTTCTGATCTGATAATTCCTCAGTGAATTTGGTAAAAACCAGAGTATATTTACAGAATTGATTCAGCATAATGTTGGTTGACAGGTTCCTCCTAATACGCGCCATCGTAGAATTTTAAAATTTTACAAACCTTTAAAAAATAAATAGATTATAAAAGCTGTCATAATATTTTGAAAAAAATTTTCAAAAATAAATGGCACAAGTATATTTAGGAATTTTACATATAGGAAATCTACTATATGCTGTTAATATGCAGTTGCAATCAGAAGAATATAATTTAATAAAGGTTCACTAAATTATGCTGCAGAAATACTAAAGTAAGAATATTATTACTATTATCGGATAATTATTAATAAGATTTAATATGATATCATGTTTGAGGAGATTGTAATGCTTCTTTATTTTTATGATTTGCTAAAATATTCAAAATATTAATTTTACAATGTAAAAAATAAATTTATTTGATTTTTAGCAAATGTACAAATAAGATTTTATAAAATATAGAAAGTCAAATAGTTATAGTTAATTATATTTTATTTGAGATTTAAATAATGGAACTAAACGTTTACCGTCGTTATTAAGATATTTATAAAATTCCTGGCATGACATTTTATAATTTTGTTTAACCATTAACTCGGCCTCTAATGTTGTTAAAGCAATTCGATTTCTCTCCTTTCTCCAGGCAGTCCTCATCAGGCTAAAAATGCGCTCCGATGAGGCATTAGAATGAGGTAAGGAGAAAACATACTCGCAAATTTTTTCCAGCATGGGGATTTATCGTTATTACGAAAAAATTCCACCCATTTCTCCTCTGCTTTTAGACCATCTAACTTTAAATATTCTGGCGAATCATAAAAAATGGAAAAAATTACAATCTCTTCAAACAAGGCTTCAATGTCTATCGGTAATTTTAATATATTTATTAAATTAAAAACCATCAAATGATGGTTTCTGTTCCAAAGTCATAATATTTATACACTTGTAAATAGAGTTATTAAAATCAAATCTTGATTGTAAATATTCCAAAATTGTCTTAAAAAATATTTGCTTCATTTAAAAATACGTTAATTAGTAATATTTGAACATTTTAATATGATATTTTTAGCAATAGCGCCATAAAATTTATTATCTATTTTTAACTGTAGAGATGAACAGAGCTGTAGCATGATTTTGTGAATCTTTATCAATAAAGAATCTTCTGATTGCAACTGAATATTAACTACATGAAGTAGATTTCCTACATGTGAAACTAATCCCAAATATGCTTCTGACATTTCATCCTCGAAAAAATTTTTCAAAATTTTAGGACAGCTTTTAAAATCTTTATTTAAGAAGTATTTCTTTAAGGGTTCGTAAAATTTTAAAATTCTCTCGATGGCAGGTATTAATGATAACCACCTGATAGGTACATATCGCAACAACTCACACCATTCTAAATCAGACCACTCCACCAATTCTTTTAATTCAGTGACTCTTTTAGTTGATGAAAAAATTCGTTAAAACATTTCATCACAATTACTTCGACATCTACAGATAGTACATTCATTGCCTTCTTGCAAGAATTATGCAGTATATGGCATATAGAGCCAATTGGTATTAATTCATTATTGTGCTGCCTCAATTCGGTAAATACACTTTGATTTTTGCCAAAACTAACAGAGGCATTATCAG